TTACATTGTGAGGAAGATACTTAAAAAGAACTGATTTCAAACTCTGAATTTAATTTATTTTAACTAAAAAAAGACAAGTAAATAGTCAGTAATAAAATAAGAATAAATAAATGACAAGCAATGGCACAAACAAATACAATAACAAGATACAAATAAAATGAACTGTGCTTTAAGTTTTTCAGGTAGGTATAACAGTAATATTCAGGGACAGAAATACTACAGAAACTGAACAATCTATTTAACTTTAAAATAACACTGGTTAGTATTCAATGTATAAATAAACATTAATGACAGACAGCAGCAGGTTTATTTAGGTTGCTGTCTCTTTAAGACCTCATGCACGGATCTAACTGTTACACACAAGTTTTGTTTCTCAACTGTTTACATTCACACTTAATAGCATATACCGACAATGTTTAGTATAAATCGACTGTTTATGTGAATTTAGTATGTATTTGGCCGTTTATCAGTGGGAATCAGTAAAATGATGTGCAATCCTGCGCCGAAACTCAAGCCCTGTTAAACTAAAGGAAAATGAAAAATGTTGCCTTGAAAACTACTTGAATTGTTTTATATATATTATTTTATTTCTAGTGACAGCAATGTTTTTCAAAGGTTTTAGTTTTAATTAGGATCATAACCCTAGTGAGGAGCGAGTGAGTGCTGATGTTTTGAAGCCATGGACAAAAAAAAGAGATTAAATGAGATGAAATCAAGCCCTTCTTTTAGATACAAAAGCGCACGTCGCAATTCCCGTAGCTTTACTGTGAGTGTGTGGTGTTGACAGTGAGCGTGGAAGGCTTAACACAATAAAGCTCTGATTAGATGGACAGATTACACACAATCTGCAACAACAGGCAGATCTGAACAACACCACCCATACGGGTCCGTGTCACATCCTCACGTAACTTAAGCCACAGATTTGTTATTAAAGGTGCAAACAGACTATGTTATGCTATGCATTATTTCTGCAGTCAGATTGCCACACCACAGGATTTTTAAAGAATCTGAGCAGTGATTCAGACCGAGAGGCCTGTTCCAAGAAGAGCCGTGTGTGTGTGTGTGTGTGTCACTATCAGAGAGGAGTCATCCTCGAGGGAAGAGAAGGATGAATGAGCAGGGAAATACATGTGTGTGTGCAAGAGCTTAACCCTCTCCTCCTTCCCTGGGCGGCAGAAATCAGAAGCACGTGTGGATCAGGGTGTGTCCATATGACATGAACACTTGTGCAAACTCAGCAGACAGACGCTGGAAGAGGCAGACAAACACACAAACACACTGGCTGGAATATATAGCTAAAATTAAAAAAAATTTAAGTTTTTATGAAATTTTAAAATTATTTATTTATAATCACTTATTATTTCATAAATGTTTTATTTTTAAATTAATAAAAATAAAATAAGTAATAATATAGGTTCACTTAATTCATTTTTAAATATTTTATTCATTACTTTTGTTTATTAAATATGATTAGTTATTTGTATATAATACATAAATATTCATTCGTTTAGAAATATTTTATTTGTAAATTAATGAAAATAAATTAAAGGAATGGTTGACTGTTTTTTTTATAGGCTTGATTGTGTTTATGGGGTGCAGTCTAAGATGTGCTAATGCTTTGTTTGTTAAAAAACGCATTATTTTTCACATAATTTACCTTTATTGCGCACCTCTTTTCCTGTTTTTATGAAGCTCCTCCCTCAGAAATACACGATGGGCTCTGATTGATTAGCTGGCCCAGTGTGTTGTGATTGGCTAAACCGCCACTAGCATGCATCTAAGCGTCCCGCCCCTCAACATAGCGGCATGTGCTTCGGTTGTATTGTAAATAATGACGTTGTCTATATTGCTTACCAATTTGAGCCCGATTGAGAAGCAGAGGATATTATTGAAGAGGATCGTGCAGAACCTGTGCAAGCACGGATTTGAATGGTAGGCCTAAGATTTTTGTCTGTTGTTGTCTCATACTTTTAGACACGCTGTTATTTGTAAATGCTACTGCTTCTGTTAGCTTTTAATATATGGTTTTATTCTGATTAAAGCTTTAATACAGTTCAGCAACCGCACGCGCTTCCATGTACAACGCTTCTCATAACTATAGTATGTGAAAATAAGTGTATTCACTGAGCTGATGATCTGAATGAGAGAGAGAGAGAGAGAGAGAGATGCAGAGCGTGTGCAGAGCAGGGCGAGGCCAGGAACAGGATGAGAACGCTGCTTTAGAACATTTATTTTGAATCTTGTGAATCCATTAGAATCGATTCATATATGAATTGATTTTTACATGCACCTCTAGTTTTCTCTTCCTCTTCTCTAAAGCAGCACAGCATGGCCTCGCCCCCTTCGCTGCGTGTTCCCGGAGGCGGGGTTTATGTAAAATTCTGGGTTCGTGACGTAACAGACCCAGAAAGTAACTCATTGTAGTCCCTACCAGTCGTTTTTGTAGGCATTAAACTGCCAGAATTTTAAAAGACGATTATCTCCGTTTTCATTGAACTTTCAGCTTCGCAACTTTGCAGATATTGTTTATGATCAAACAGCAACATTACACACTAACTAACATTAAAAAAGTGAAATCGCAATCAACCACCCCTTTAATAATATATATAAATTAATATAATTTTTTAAAATACAAATTTATTTATTAAACATTTATTTAATCTTATATAATTGTGTTAGTTTATAATTATTTTATTTTTTAATTAAATGACTAATATATATATATATATATACATATACACACACATACATACACACATACTAAGGATTTTTTATTTTAATATATAATTATTTTTGTTTATAATAAGCAGGGGTGCACACAAGTCTGGTTCTCATGAGAGCACCTGGAGATTTGGTTTGGTACTCACACGGCACATAATGGGACTCTTTAAATATAACTATTAAAATAAAATTATTATTAATTATTTAATTATTAATAGTGATAATAGTATTATTGCACTTATTTATTTTGTATTTTAATAAAATAAATAAAATAATCAGTGTGATAATACTATTATATTTAAAAATAAATTGAGTATAACATAAAAGTACAGTTATTTTATAGTACACTTAAAAATACAGCGCAAATATTACCTTTTTATAATGAATTTACATCATTTTTAAACCTAAAATCAGCAAGCTTTTATTTTGGTGGGTAGCCGGCAATTAAGTATATGCGCTGCCGGGTTTAGCACTGCTGAGTGAAGCGCTCAGTGATTGAATTGCCAGTTTTGCATGTTGCTCTGAAACCGGCAGTGCATGGTCTAGATTTATGCTTTCCGTTTGAGTGGAAATCTTATACAGTATTTACAGTTAGTCAATCTAAAACAGTGATGTATATAGTATAGTATAGAACCCTTCAATAAGACCTTTTGTCACTCAGTAGCCCATATCATGACACCTTTCTCACCGTTACCCCTCATCAGCCTTTGATTATTTTCGTTCTTCTTGAGTTTGATTTCCACCACAGCAGTTTTCTGTCCTCACCCCCACCCACTGCGCTGTCTGTACCTGCCCACATCCTTTCTCTCTGCAGTATTTTACTACAGCTATGCGAGTGGTGCGTTCACTCAGTTAGTACTGAACTGCTGTGCACGTGTGTTTCTACATGTCAACTGTAGGGATGTAACGATTCACTCAACTCACGATTCGATTCACGATTTTGATTTTACGATTCGATTCACGATTTTTTTTAAACAAAATTAGATTTAAGACAAATTATAAATTAAATGTGTCCTTTTATTATTGCTTGGACAATATGCTGCATGTTTCTTTGTGAAATTGAAATATAACACTATAATAATATACTAATATAGCACTTGTATATTATTGCTCTTTTGTTGGTTTTGATTGCTTCTATTGTCCTCATTTGTTAGTCGCTTTGGATAAAAGCATCTGCTAAATAACAAAATGTAAATAACAAAACTAAATTGAAATTTTAAAACAAGCACCAAATCAAATAAATAAGTAACACAAATAAAAGAAGTCTCTTCATATCAACAAACTAAGGCTTTGTCTGTGCTCTTTCCTTTTAAAATTAGAGGCAACCACTGCATTTTAATCATGATCCAAACAAAGATGCTGCATACATGCAACATGAGCAGTTTTTAATCTAAATTAGATTGTATAATTTCGAAATTTGAAAAAAAACAAGTTTCACTTCAGTTTTGTAAAACTATACATAAAACATATTTGCATACAACAGAAACAGCAGAAGAGCTGAATGAGAAACAGATTCACTCTCTGCCAGCAGGTGGCGCTTAAAGCGTTTCCTTGGTTTCCGCTGTAAACAAAGGCTGCACTTTAATAACTTTAATATTTTATATTATACAGAGGCAAGATGAAAAGAAAAAAATACCATCTAAACTTTTCTAAAGACAGTAAGTTCCCCTCAGACATACATTCATATAAACTCTTACCCCTAATTGAATCGCGATTTGTTTAGCATCTCAACCGATTTGAATCGTCACATATTCGAATCGATTTTCAACCGGCTCGCGGTTCATCGTTACATCCCTAGTCAACTGCTATATGAGGTTTTACGTATGATCACCATTCATTGTTTTTATTTGCGTTAACATAGGATTGTGTGTTTGTGACCGAACTGAATATTGAATATTCCTGTATATGTGTGTGTGTGTGTGTAATTCACTTCAGTGCTCTGCTGCTCAGATGATGTAAATAGACTGAATCACATTCATAATCTCACACACAGTCAGTCTTCTCATCTCAACACGTTATTATTTAATTTTGTGACTCAGCAAGCAGCCTGTGGATGGGTAACTAAACCACTCTTGAGTTTTTTATTTTAGTAACAGGGTAAACAAGAGAGCGATGTCTGAATGTTATGTCCCACTTCAGATTAATCTACCCAAATCACAGAAAAACAACAATAACAAAAAAACAGTCACTGGTTCTCAGTCAGAAAACAGACTTAATACTAATAGTCAATAGTCTGGCTGCATGAGAGAAGAGCATGCTGGGTAAAGACAGACACTCACCCTGTGCTGCTCGATGGAATCGATCCATTGGTTGCGATGTTCTGGGTCCTGAGCGCGTAGATACCACACGCTATCATTGACACTGATGTCCAACCGGCACTCGTCAAACTCATGAGGCTACAGAGACGGAGAGAGAACACTTATTAGACTGATCTGTTCATCAGACATCATTACTAATGATATTTGTACATTTGTAAACAAGGTGCTTTTGGGTGAGGGAGGGATCCAAGAATCTAATCTGTTGTTGATTAACCAGGATTATTTAATACTAGACAGAAAAACCACAACCAACAGAAAAGAGAGGGAGCCTTGATCCACAGATCCAGCTGGGAAATGTGATATATTTCCCTTTGGAAAAAAAACAAAAAACATTCAAAGCCTGACACTAATCACAATATGAAGAGCCATGACGGGTTTACACATGAGGACTGAAACGGGCTTAAATGAGACTGGAGACAAAGCTAGATGTGTTTAAAGGAAGGAGAATAATCACTCACATCTGAGCAAGGATGATTATAACTTATCACACCACAAAACACAACAACAAACAATCACAGAGTGCCAGAGGCCTCAAATAGTCTTTACATAGAAACAGCATCTTCCCACTACAAACCCAGAGCTCAAAGGAAACTGTGAGAAAACTAAGCGACTTGTTCACAGCGTGAGACTATTCATAACCCAGCAACGTTATGCTGCCTTATAAGAAGCACTTGTGGAGAAGGCAATCCCAGAATGCACTGCAACGAGCTCAGTCGGTCAGATCTGTTGTGCATTTACAATGACAGTGTTTGAAAAACTGCTGTTATGATGTTGAAAATGTCCATTTAGATTTAGGAGTGCTTATATTTGTGCATGGAACCGAGAATGGACTGACGCGGGAACATTCTACTGCCTGTATGGGAAAAGCATTGAGCAGGAATCTGGGAATGGAAAATCGAGACATGGTGGGCAATGCAGTGGACCCCGAGAGGGTCACAGCGGGTACTGAGAAAAGACACTAAAATAAACAAAGGGTTGTTACTATGGGACTGACTTAACCTGCGAGACACCATCAATCGCACGGCAATGTACACAAACATGCACATCACAACACTGACACACAGATGTTAAACAGGACTGGTATCTGTTGATTTGTGGGTTTCTATCTAAGGTAGGGCTGCATTGTGGGTAGAGCTAGGGATGGGTACCGAAACTCTGTATTTAATCGGTACTGGGGCTAAATTATGAAACACCAAAGTATCGATAAGCTCTGACGTTAACGGTTCTGCTATCGGTACTGGAGAAATTAATAAAACACACATACATTTATTATTGCTATATATACACATTATCTTGCAAATTCTATCTCACCAGAGTCTCCAGCTGTTTTTCAAACATCTGTCTGGTGCATTTTTGCTATTCACAATTCAGAAGCGAGATCTCGCTTCAGCGAAGGAGGAGGAGCTTCAGCAAACGCAACATGAAAGCCCTGTTTAATTATGATAAAAGAGAGAACTAAACATTGAAACATCTGCTTACACTTTATGCCGTGGCCGTTTTATTAAGCTAATTATATTTTTTTATTTCGATTTTTTGCTTCTAAGGATTATACAAAAGAAGACATGAGGTAAAGCTATTAAAAACTAGCTGCGTTTCGTATTGCGCAACTTCTTTCCCTTCACAGCGGTGCGCATTCGTTCCTCCCTAAAACCCAAACTTAACGTCAGAATCAGCTCAATCGGTGATTGTTGTAAAATGCCGTCTTTACTGTTGCTAAATTGCGGGACATGTTTGATAATAAAACGTTGAAAGCACAATCCGCACAAGAGATGCTGTTCCTCAGGCTGAAATGTGTGCCCGAAGTGTAAAACGAGAAAGGCATAACCTTACGAAAAGAGAAAACACGCAAAAATCACGGTTGCTGCGGTTCTTGCATTCCTCTGCGGTTTGCTCGTCAATAGCGTGGTATTGCGATATTGCGGTTATCGCGACAGCCCTAGCCAGTGGTTCTCAAGAGTTTTAATATTTTGGCCAGAAGCAATGGTTTAAATTTAAAACATCTTGATGGTGGATTTGTTTCTTACAAACATGCAGCTTTTCATTTCAAAAGACATTAACTGATGGACTGGAGTGGTGTGGATTACTTGTGGATTATTGTGATGTTTTTATCAGCTGTTTGGACTCTCATTCTGACGGCACCCATTCACTGCAGAGGATCCATTGCTGAGCAAGTAATGCAAGGCTTAATTTCTCATTTACATTTTGGATGGCCTGAGGGTAAAGAAATTGTAATTAAAATTTTTTGGGTAAACTATTCCTTTAATTAAAAAGACAATTAAATTATTAAATCACAATAATCTGTATGCCAATTACTTAAAAATCATGTTCATATTAGCCACGACCTGACATTTTGAGATCTACATTTAAAGAACAAATGTCCCAACGGAAACAGAGGTGTCAAAACAAAAACGACCATGAGGTTAACATGTCCAGGGTGTGAAATAAGCACAATGTGCTGAAGTCCACACTTGAATGTGATTAACCAGCAAATAATGATATCAGGAGCTGGTTAGAGATGGATGTTAACGCTCACAGATAATGGGTAAATTGCTGTTTACTGAGAAATTCAATCTCAGATCTGTGCTTTGGAAAATCAGAAACACAGGAAGGTGGGACTTCAGCTTGAACAAAGGAAACACAAGCCACACTGACCCACAGATTAGGACACAGGATGCAAAGGAAGAGAGCATGTCATATGACTAACTAACCCGCTGTTATTGACAGGTTAAAGTGTATCTATATGTGACTTTAATGTCCAGACAGAGTCCTGGTTAAAGCACATCTAGGAGGAAGGAAGTAGAAGACAGGAGAGATGAGCAGAGGGACTTTCAGATTTGACCCCAGGGTCACCTAACAGGAATTCATCAGCAGGAGGGCACAAGGGAGCAAACTTCCCGTTTCAAACAACAGGACATTCGTACACCTCTCTTTTTCTTCCATTTCAGATCTACACAGCCTCTGTTTTCACTTGTTCCACCCTTTTAAAAATATCACAAGATCATTCCCTCCCACATCCCTGTCTCTCCACGCTGCTCGCACCTCCTCCTCATTTCAGCATCGGTTTTCTTTACAGGACATTTCAGGGTTCACTGACTGTTTGATCCGTAATGGAGCCCGTATGACACCTTCATACACAGATTCACTCAAACACAATTTAATAAAAGCCCTCTGAAAGCCGAGGCGCTCAATGTCTCCAGCAGAATTGGGCTGATCGAACTTTCCAGCAGCTCTGCAGTGACTGCCTCAAGATTTAAAGGGACGAAGCACAACAAAACGTCTCCAGTCGATCTTCACCATCCATACTAATCTAATCCATATATGTGATGTTGTTAGAGATAGATGAAACAAAAATGTAAATGTTATAGACATTCAGTTTATAAATTATTAAAGGTTTCATTACATGTAATGTTAAAATTGTTATATATTTGATACAATGCCATTATGAAAAAAGTTTATGTTGGGGAAACCTCTTGTTGTCAAATAGATCATATTACTGAAAGTAAGAGTGCAATTAAAAGAGGACCACTGGCTAGGGCTGTCGCGATAACCGCAATATCGCAATACCACGCTATTGACGAGCAATTACCCCGGAAACCCCATAAACAAAGCAGCTGTGCTACTTTCTGAAACCTGTTTAAATGATTTAAACAGCCATTCAGATTTGTGTATCCGCTATGGTGTTCATTAGGGTTGTGCCAATAGACGATAGTATCGTGTATTGACGATAGCAGATGTCTTTGTCGATAGTCAAGACGATATTAGGCTCATTCTCCTATTAATGTATAAAACTATTATTATTATTATTATTATTAGGCGGCCTATTATTATTGGGCTATTATTATCAAATTTCCCTGCTTTTTCACCTCAGCGCCGCACTTCACACACACGCGCACATGAGGATTAGGCTACGCCTCCTCATTTCTAAATGTTTTAAAAACAGACTCCAAAACTAAGTCCACATCAAAATTGAACTGCAGGGTGATAAACCTTTATTTACAAATTATGTCAAGAGTGCTAAAAGAGACCTCTTTTCGAGACATCTTTTCTTGAACAGCTATGAATGAACACGACGAAACTGCATCGTCACCAGCATTTAGCTTTCTTTACAGCACATTAACAAAAAACATTGATGCTTATTCTTCATCATCGTTATTATAAAAAATATGCAGTTAATAAGTTATCAGTCTAAAACAGGGCTCATCATGGGGCGCGCGGTCCAGAACGATGTATGACTGATGTATCCATTTAATTGAGCTTTACTCCAAAAATATGAACTTACCTGAAAATACTTTTATCTTTAACTATTTAGTGTTAAACTGTTGGTCTTTAAAATAAATCTACTTTTGATTTTCACCTTGACTGATAACTTCCGCGCCGATGCGGCAAACCTGTAACAGGACGCGCGGTCCTAATAGCAATGTATGACTGCTGAATCCGAATATATGAACTAGCTGTTATAAATATTTTTATATTAAACATGTTCATTTTTCAGTATGTTTGAAAGTATATTATTTCGGTTATTGGTGCTTCCAGGCTCTCTCTCTCTCACGCATGCGCGGTTTAAAATCACCAAATAGTCATGAAATGGCCCATGACAAGTACAGAGAGTCTCTCTCTTGCCCCCACGCACGATAATATCGTGTATCTGCGATCTCACAGGCTTGCGATATGACGATATGAAAAATGACCATATCACCCAACATTTGTGTTCATCACAGCGCCAAATACTTAAATATATTAGGGATGCACCGATATGAAAATATTGGCCGATACCGATAACCGGACTTAATAGGTGATTTATCTTCAAACTTTTTTTACATTTTAATCTGGACTACAACATGCCCTAGATATTGTATGAAAATGTTTTGATTCTTTATAGAGAATGTGAAGCTGACGTCACGCCGTGTTGAGTTCGGTGTTCTTTTCCAAGAAAGCATGTGAAACATGTAAGGGATAATCAATGGTTTGCCGTGTATTAAAGGATTTTAAATGCACTTCTCGTCGGGTGGTTCTTTGCCTCCACGTTGTGCATTTAAAATCCTTTAATGCATGGCAAGCCATTGATTATCTGGCTTATT